AGTCTCCTCCCCAACTCCTTTCTGTATTTTCATAAAGAAATTACCATTGTTTAGCATAACATCAAATAATGCAAATATTTCCTATGACACATATTAAGAGGTTAATAACAAAAACTTTAGCTTATACCTCATAAGTTGCCTATCAAAGCCTGAAGCAGCTAAGAGCCCTCTATTCTCTTCAGCCCTTCTGAGGAGGTAAGGCATAACCATTTCAACTGGCCCAAAAGGCATGTACTTGCTAACCTGAAACCCTGCATTGCTCAAACCAAAGGAAAGTGCCTCTGACATTCCATATAGCTGTGCAAACCCTAGCTTGTGGTTCACCTTTCCAACCCCCAATTCATGTGCCTTTGCCACAGCCAATTTCCCTATGCAACATTGTCACATCAGACACTTGAATTTGGATCCTAAGGTATTGTATATTAAAAGAGTAAATAGTCTATTTATTGATATTATAAAGGGTTTGAATACCGTCATTTAATACAAATTGTTAAGTATTATAAATTGGTTTATTTTTATAATAATTATCTTAAAAGTATTAAAGATGATATTTGTTTTTTTATAATCATTGAAGATGATTTCTTATTGATAAATAATGTAAAAAATATATATATATATATATATATATATATATATGGGGAATGCTAATATACTCCCACCTATTTTTTAGTGGAAGTATGTTAGCAACTTACACCAAAATTTTAGGACAAAAAAATCACTCATTTATTTTGATTTGGTTAATTCGTATAAAGGATATTATAGTAATTTAATTTAATTTTAAATAAAAAAAATATTTTATCTCTCTTATTAATTTCATTCTCCAATTCATTTATTTTTTCTATTAATTAGTTTTTATTTGTTCAGAGAGAGAGAGAGGTGGGAGAGTGGGAGACATCATGGGAGATGAAAGATAAATGAGTTAAAAAAGAAATTTAATAGGAGATAGATAAATAAGAGAAAAAATTTAATAAGAAAGAGAAATGAATTGAAGAGAGAATTTAATAGGAGAGACAAATGACTTACAGATAATAAGAGAGAAAATATTTTATTTATATTTAAAATTAAATTAAATTATTATAATATCTTTTATACAAATTAACCAAATCAAAAGAAATGAGTGGTCATTTTTCCTAAAATTTTGGTGTAGGTTGCTATCATTCTCCCACTAAAAAATAGGTGGGAGTATATTAGCATTCCCATATATATATATAATATATATATATATATATGGTTTTTAAATTTATATATATATATATAATTTACACACGTGTGTTAGATTTTTAATTGCTGGAGAAAAAAAATATACCTTGAATAAAGCAATTTGACTACAATATAATATAATCAACGCGAATATTTAAACGTTTGTAAATTGTAATTCATTTCATAATGTACACTCTGACGTAATCATCTTTGCTAATCAGTCTGACGCAACGTGTGCGTCATTTTACATACCTAACCCTAGCAAAGAAAATAAAACTTATACAGTCAAAATAATATTATTTTAAACAGTTACAATGTTCCTAGTTCCTACACAATAAAAATGATATTGCTTTAATAAATTAATTAAATATTATTTAGCAATATAAAATAAAAAAATTTATTAATGTAAAAAATGTTATTTTAATATGCTAATAAATTTTTTCTTCAAATTGTAAATAATAAATAAACTACTATAGTGAATAGATATTATTTTAGTAAGTTAATAAAATTGTTTAAAAATTAAAATAATGAATACATTTTTAAAAATATGGATAATCTTGTAACAATTATAATTCAAAACTTATAAAATATAAACAACTTTTATAATGAATAAATTAATTCTACTAACAATGATATTTAATTAAAATGTGTTTGCTTAACAATGCCAAATTATTTTGGTGTAAAAAAAGCAGTGAAACTATTTTACTATTTTTACCGTGGCTGCTGGACTTTTAAACTCAATAAATAATAATATTGTGTAAAAGAATATGCATCAAAAAGTAGATAAATTCAAGTTAGTAAAAAAGTGAAAGCAATTAAAAAAAATAGATAAAGGAGTGACATGATAATGTTTGTTGATAATGGATGTCTCATGCATGTTCCATATTTATAGTCTTTTTGACAAGTCTTTCTCTGTTTCTCACATATGATGAGAGAAGAATGCAATGCAAGTTGACCGGGAAGACCTCACAAAACATGTCTTTACTTTACTAAAGCTACGCTACAGCCTCTCAATAGTATGTAACGAATTATTCTCTGAAACGTTTAAAGTCGATAATATTAAGGGAGTTGCCACCGTACCTCGAAGATCGAGGGGTTTCAATACATTTTTCTGTATAAATTTATAAAAAATTTAAAAAATTTAATTTAATTATAAAATAAATAATTCAAATTATACTTATAAAATAAAAAATTAGATAAAATTATAAAGATTATTATAAGATTTTAATAATATTATAAAATATTAAAAAAAGAAAAAAAATTAATAAATAGTAGAAATAAAATTTATTAAAATTATAATATAAAAATTTAAA